AACGAGCAGCAAACGTCCCAAGTACCGATCGGGTGGGGGTAGCGCGGTCAATTTAAACGTCTCTTGAGAGAGAGCGATGAAGCGTTGTGATTGGAGCTCCCTCGAGCCAGTGGTACCAGCTCCTGGTGAAAAAAACATACCGACGATGTTGCCACTTTTTCGCAAAGTTTAATATTTTTTTACTTATTAAAAAAAAACCATCTGAAAACCATTCAATGCTTGGAACAGATACAAATAAATTTGATTAGCTCCAAAAATAATTTTTAACCGGAGATGCTCCCTAATATTGCCGGAATTTTGAATCCGAATGAGAAAAACTTTTTTGTTCAGCGATTGGTTTTCTGCAGGAAAACAATGGAAACCCCTCCGCCTCACCTCCTACATTTCCTCCTCGCCCGATTATCCTTAAGGTGAAACGGAACACCTGTGTCTATAAGAAATTTTAGAATTGTGTATTCTCCTGCAATTAGTTTTTATGTATAAAAATATTTCATTGAGTCAACGAAGTAATGATCCAGTCGATAAAGTAGTTTCATAGATGAAAATTAAAAGTTGTAGCATAAGAAAACACAATTCTTAAAGTTCATATAGACATAGAGGTTCCGTTTCCCCTTAAAGGGTTTGGTGCGAAAAAGGTAAGTAATGACATTCATCTAAAATTCATATAGAATGTTTATAATCACAATTGAATTATCTGGGAATTTTCCTAGAATTTTTTCAGATTTATTTTTCAAGTTATTCGCGATTAAAGTCGCTGCTTATACATGGGCTCTTGTGGAGATTTTTGCAGTTTAGCATGAAACTATATTATCAGCTCAGATTGTACCGCAGGTTCCTGCTAAACAGGAAAATCTCCATAAGAGAGACTATGTTTAAGAAGCGACTTCAATACTTAATTGAAAAAGAAATCTGAAACACGTCTATGAAAATTCGTCGATAATTCAATTATGATTACAAACATTCTATATGAATTTCAGATGAATGTCATTTACCTTTTTCGCACGAAATAAAATACCTTAAATAAAATGCCTACCCGTAGAGAAACATGTGGAAAAATGGCCACTTGTGACTTGTTTTTTTAACCCTCTGACTCGAAATGCGTACTAACAAGGAACACTACGAAGGTGTCCCCCTCCGATTTCGATGAAACTTAAATATGTTATAGGGGACCCAAAACTACGGGACAAGTATTTTTTTTTAGCTGCCCATATTGGGTTTTAGGGGGTGAAAGTGCCCTCTGAAGTTGACCACCTCTCGAGGTCATTTTTCGATTGCACACATCGATCCACATAATATACATTTCAAATTCATCCACATAATATACATTCTTCAAATTTTCGCTTCCTCCTGTTTCAGAACGATAGTTCAAGATATGAAGAAGCAATGTGAATTTCTTCAAATTTTTAAAACACTTTTATCAGACCTCGACAAGCTTTTGAATTTCTTATGACAAAGTACATGCGAGAGAGTGCATTAAGTTTATATGCATCAGATTTCATCAGAATTGATTGAAATTATTATGAATCTCCATCGATTACTTGATGTAAATGATGAAAAGAACTCAGACTTTTTTTTACATTTTTCAATCAATTTGTTATTGAATTAAAAACTATGATTTTCCTTTGAAATGGGACTTTTCGAGACTGTCTAAATGCCCTTTAAACAAGACCGATTTCGTTGAATTTTTGTAGAACGAATCTTCAATTATCGGACTATCGTTTGACGAAAGAACGAATAATTTATATTATTCCAAATCACCGAAAAATGCAAAATAAATTCCTGAAATTTTTGAGCAGTGACAAGTGCTTGGATCACTTAGAACTTTTATGGAGGCTATTACCTGAAACGGAGAAGGTCAGCCATCTGGCGAAACCTTTTCCCGGATTATCCGACGTACCTGGTCGCACCCAATAAATTACTATATACCTTCTTTATGCTCTGATTTTGTTGGTTGCATTTTTTTTCCATTTTCATGCAAAGAAGATGTTGTGAAATTCTCTATTTGATGACGATTCCATAGAAACTTGAATGGTCGAAATCGGATAATTCTACGCTGGTTATCATACACGGTTTGAATCTCCCCGTGGAGGACTTACTGTCATACTATTGGGGCTCCAGCGTTGTCGAATTTCCTCTGCACTCCCCAGGCGTGTTTATTGAGTTTCCGGCAATGTCCCATAACGAGCAACATTACCATAACATTTACCATGAAAAAAGATCTGTCAGTGATTAAATATCACTTATTTTCTCAGACAGAAGATTAATTTTCTATAAACAATTAAATGTGAAGATTTCTTCGGTTTAATACAATATAGAATAATAATAATAAGAATGATACATAATAGAATTATGGCTGTAATAAACAATGAAACTAACATATATTTTTATAAATTATGAGTATCAATAATGTTTAGAATATCCAAGTGAATCGACGATTTTTCTTTTCATGATTTCAATTCTTCTCGACATTTTGAACTGAACATCAGAGCTTTTATTGAATACTATATTTGATTCTATCTAATAAAATGATGAAATAATGAAAAATATTTCATTCTCGGAAATTTAGACCTTTTACCATAAGTAATTCATGGAATATGAATTTCCTATCTTCAAAACCATTCTTGGTAATAGATCATCAATTTATTCATATCCAGAATTCTAGCGGTGATCTATTTCATAAAAAATAATCAAGTTTTCGGAAAGTGAAACAATCTTGATTATTGATTTATACCACAGAAATGTAAAAAAAATACCATGCCCCAGAATATAATTTGAATGGAGCTGATTATGTCTGAATTTTTTCAAATTTTTCTAATGCAATCCAATTAAACAAATGAATATTTGAAAATCTGTGGTATGTAGTATTGTAGAGTAAATTTGCACTGATTTCAATCGCGTGAAATTTCCGTTCGTGGATTAGGATTATTCAAATAATTTTCCGACGAAAACGTCAAGTCCTCTTTCGTACAATTGGATGACGACTCCCGGTATTTTTGAACCACTAGTATCAAATTTTGTTTGCTGGCTTCATCTTTCCTAAGCAGATCATTATATTCACTTATGAGAGATACACTTCTTTCAGCAATATCGTTTGTGACATGAAGAGATTTGACAATTTTGGAAGCGGCAACAAAATGATCTCTACTCTCCCATGTCGTAGGGTCGGTATTCAAGAAACTAGGATGTATTTTCAATATTTCAAAAAACCTCATGGTATTTTCTGTAACAAAGGAATCTAGAGTGGAGTCTTGTATGAATTTTGCGTCGTTTATCCCCACTTTTCACTTTTTTCGATCATCTATAAGAGCAGAACGAGACTTGATGGCCTGGCACATCTTTCTCTTACAATCTGCACTCACATTTTCATCGAAAAAAGCGAGAGCTCTCAATTCCTCTGACAAGTACCAAAGGTGATTAACGAACTTTTTGAATGCAGCCTTGTGCATCTTTCCTGATGCCTAGAAGAGGGCCATCATTGTCCCGGTGAACAAAGTCTCTTCTTCCAAACATCCCACTGACTACCATCCCATTGCACTGCTGCCCTTCCTGGCGAAGGTTATGGAGAGGTTGGCGTACAATCAACTTTCGTCGTTTCTTCTGAAGCGCGGCTTGCTTGACCCTCGACAGTGTGGGTTCAGACGGGGCCACAGCACTCAGACAGCATTGCTAAGGCTTGTCAATGACATCCGGAGGGGCGTTGATGATCGAAAAGTTACCATTTTGGTCCTCTTCGACTTCTCCAAAGCCTTTGACACAGTCTCTCATTCTTTGCTACTGGCCAAACTCACAAGGCTAGGGCCTTTCTCCTGGTGCTGTTGCCTGGATTCGCTCTTATCTGACTGGTCGTTCTCAAGCAGTGAAGGGTGAACGTAGGCTATCTTCTTTTCTCGAAACCAATGCTGGAGTACCCCAAGGATCTATCCTTGGCCCACTACTGTAAGTAAGTTATTTATTCAAGGTGTATGACCTCTCGGCCTTTTACATTTTTGCACCCCTCCCATAAAAGCCCACTCCTCCCATAAACACTGTTATAAAAATTGAAATAATAACACATCTTAAATAAAATGTCTAGGTATTTTAATTTTATAGTTAATAGAATCTGGATTATATCATTTCTGGACATGGCCCTTAACGAGGAGAAAAAAGTAGCAGCTAGGCTCCTACCAGGGTCCTTAGAGTTGTACTAAATATTATTACTGGTACAATAGTTCATCTTATTACTAATATCTTCGTAGAGCCTGTGAAATGAAGGATAATTAGTTGTTCACTCCCCAGTGGAGAGTGGACAGGACTAGGCCGACAATTTCTAGGGAGATACTTGAAAAAAGAAAGAAAAAAGAAAAAATAATAATAAACCCTCAAAAAAAAAGAAAAGAAACGCACCCCCAGCTACACACGGAAGAGCTGCTGAGAAGTTGCGCCGCCCCAGGGATAGGCTTGTTTCTGCCCCCAGCTGGAACTAAAAATTAAAAAACGGTTGGATGTACCACAAGGCTCGTGCAGTTATCAGGAAACTGCACTGTGGATATGTCAGGTGCAGAGGTGGCAATGCGTGGACGGCATCGCCTCATCTCCCCCTCTCTTTAAGAGCTTTGTGCTTCGTCAGTTGCTCTCATCAATTTCTCCCACTCTCTCACCAGCTTACATAACTCATTGACTGGGCGACCCTTTAAGGTCTCCCAGACCGACTCGTCCTGTCTAACCTTCAGCCAATTTCCCCAGTGGTCCTTTAATTTCTCCTTGATTCCCTTGCATTCTAAGATGTGTTCCAGGGTTTCCTGGTCATACTCACATAGTCTGCAAGATACATCAGGGTATCCTTTGTTACCAGCTCTACCCACGTTTCCGCTCCTCATTCTGGCCCAGGTGACTTTGTTGCCCCACGTGACAGCTTTGTCACTCCAGTAGTCATAAGGGTTGTCTTCGAGTTGAATCAGAGATTTGTATTGCGGGCAAAAAGTAGATCTTTCGATTTTTACTTGGTCTCTGTGCCATTCGTTCTAGGTCTGCTTGTCCAGATGCTCTTTCAGCCACTCGTCGAACGCCTCTTTATCCATTTCTCCCTTGTACAATTTGTTGTAGACCTCTTCATCCCCTTGTTCCTTCAAGGCAGCCAGCAGGGTCCTACCCCAGGCAGAAGGGCAACCGTTCCCAAGTGTTCTCAGCTCTTCTTTTAGGCATGTCCTAATCAGCCTGTCCTCCTCTAGCTGCCATATTTCACCTATGTATTTGAGGGCTCTTCTCCTCATCTCCAGTTCTAGACTACCTCTTTGGCTCTCTCTTGTCCAGATGTAGGCTGGGGTATTCCTCGTGATTCCCATTCCCATTTTCACCACCTTTCCCTGTACCCTCTCAATAGGCTCCCTCCTCACCAGACCCCAGATCTCTCCGCAATAGAGAGCACCAGCTTTGCCCAGGGTGCTGAGTATGTATAGTCTACTTTTCAGGGTGCTGAGACCAGCTCTTGAGCATACCCCCCAAGCGGCATTCAGGACACTTTGCCCGTCATTTTGGCTACATGCTCGCCCATAGTGTTCTTGGTGGTGAACCAAAACCCAAGTATTTGAATCTGCTCACCGTCTCCAGCTCTTCCCCATTGATGAACCAACGCTCGTTTGCTACTTGGCGACCTCCATTTCTGAACACAAGAACCTTTGTCTTCTTTACATTGATCTCCAGTTTATTCCTTATTACATAGGCTTCAGCCTTCTTCAGCATTTCACTCAGGTCTGTAGCGTGCTCCGATATGACGGCTATGTCATCCGCAAATTTCAAACAGAAAACCTTGGTACCCCCTATTACTGAACCCCCCAAGTTTCTCCCACTCAGTGTCTATGTCATCCAGGAAGAGGTTGAAGAGGAGAGGGCTGAGAGGACATCCCTGTCTCATTGCTCTGCCCGTACTGAATCTGCTGGAGATCCCCACACCTGTGATCACCTCGTTCACTGTGTTTTTGTAGATGGATTTTACCATGTCGTAGAAACGTCCCCTAATCCCTAGTTTCCACAGTTTTTCCATGAGTAGGTCCCTGTCGACAGTGTCAAAGGCGGCCTTCAGGTCTAAGAAGGCCACGTAGAGCTTTCCCCCAGGCCTTTTTATCCTATTCCCTATCAGGGAGTTAAGGATAAAAACCTGCTCTCTCGTCCCTCTTCTCCTCCTGAACTCTCCTTGACTCTCTTTTAGTGCATCGTTGTCCTCTATCCAGTCGTTCAATCTCTGTGTCATAATACTTGCCAACAACTTGTATCCCAAGTTCAGGACGGATATGGGCCTGTAATTGCAGACATCCTGTTCATCTCCTCCTTTGTGGATGGGGAAGATGCGGGCCACATTCCAACCATCTCTCAGAGATCCAGATTCCCAACTCGATTGTATGACCTGACACAGTTCCTTTCTCCAAGCTTCAGACATATTTTTTAGGAACTCGCCCGGAATGCCGTCCTCACCAGCAGCTTTTCCATTCTTCAGTCTATTTAATGCCCGACTGAATTCAAACCAACTGATGTCCTTATCCAGGGCCTCGAGCTCATGCCATTCTTCCCAGCATTCCCACTCAGGCTCCTCTTCTCTGGTGACATCAGTGTCTCCCAGCACTTCTGCCATCCGGTCCACCCATCTCTGTTCACTGATATCCTGTCCCGCTCTCCTTTTCTTCACCCTGCAGCTGTTCAGTCCCTTCCAGAAGTCCGACATATTTCTACTCTTTCTTATCCGCTCTTTCTTTTCCTCAGCCAGTTCCCTCACCTTGTCCTTGAAGATTCGTTTCAGTGCAGCCTTCGCCTCTGTCAGTCTTTTCTTTTCATCGGCTCCTCCTTTCTTCAGGTATTCACGTAGGTTGCGCCACACGACCTTCCGTTGCTCTTTGAACTCATTACCCAGCCAACTGTCTTCACTAAGGGTACCCGTTTTGATCTCTCGGATCATCCCTAGCTCTCCAGCGATTTCTTTTATCTCCGTTTTAATTCGTGTCCATTCAATTCCACCTCCGTCTCCTCAGGGAGTTCCTTCCATTTTTGCTCTAATCTAGACTGAAACTCTTCCTCTTTCTCAGGGTCCCAAACCAGCTTCACTTGGGGGCTCGAGTCTCCTTTTTCGGCTAAGTTGGGTTGGCTGTGCCTATTTGTACTGCCTCCTTCCTTAGTAACTCTCGCCCTCAGTCCCCTTAATTTGCACCAGACCTGGAGGTGGTCAGAATCAATCGTTGGCATGATCCTAAGCTCTCTAACCATGGGCTCTATTGGGAGCTCCTCAACCATGACCAGATCTATGACTGAGCCTCCTTTATCTGCCGCGTTGCCCACGTAGGTGATGTTACCCCTCTTATCCCCCCCTATAGCTCCGTTGAGAATGACGAGCCCTTCCTTATCGCAAAATTTCAGCAGCTTTCTCCCCTCAGTGTTTAGCTCCCCATCCATAGATTTTTTCGCGAATTTCTGTTCTTCCTCCCCAGCCTGTCGACTCCCTACCCTCGCGTTTAAATCCCCTGTCACAAGAATTTCCTCTCCCTTGGCTCTGCCCTCCTCGATATGTATTCTGATCTCAATGATCTTGTCAGTCCCAATATTATTGTAGCCAGCTACAATCCTACCTTTTTTATTATCACAAAGAATTATATTTCAGATCACAGCCCCATGCTCCCAGGTATGCACTTTAATTCCATCAGCTAATTCATTCCGAATGCCTACTACTAATCCCCCTTTCTCTCTACCCCTCTTATTTTTCCTAAAGGCCCCCTGAAACTTCCAAGAAAAATCTGAGTCCAGCCCTCCCATTAGTTTCTTCTGATTTTTGCTCTCTACCCAGATCTCCATAAGAATTACTATATCGTGCTTTGACAGTTCCCTCCCCAACCTCTTGACTTTACCGTTTCTTGTAAGCCCTGCAACATTCCAACAAAATAGACTTATATTAGAGCTTAAATCTAGGTTACAGTACTCATCATTATCTAGTCATTGGTTTCTTTGGGTTGCCTCGTTCTCTCTCCGACCCGCTGTCCTTCCGGCACGTCTACCAGAGCGAAGTACTTTGAGACAGGCTGTCTCCTCTCTCCACTGATATGCTGAATTCCCGACGAGTAGCCTCTGCTGGAAGCCAAGGGCCCTGGCTTGTCTCCCTTTATTCTACTCTCTTTGGGCCAGGCTCTCTAGACAGTCTCGAACCTTCTGCTGCCTCCAGGTTAGGTCATCATCCACTTCGATGCCTGCTGCTCTGAGTCGTCGGAGGTTTTTCGCTCCCATCAGCAATTTCTTTTGTCTGAGTTTGACAAGAGTGAGCAGCGTATCTCTTCTAGCAGCCCTCTGTTTGCTTATGTCCAACTCAATACCCAAGACTCTCTGCACAGTTTCAGCGAAAACTCTGGCTGCTGTCCAGCCCTTTGCTTTCAGCCCTTTCACCAAGATATTCCTCCTTCGATCAGCCTTTTCTTGCTGCTCATGCTCCCAGACCCTCTTGGTCAACTGACTGGGAGCTGTAGATCTCCATTGTAGCTCGTCAGTTCCACTCTGACTCGAGCCCTTCCTGCTGCCCTCGTTGGGTAGTGGCGTCGAACTAATCTGGCTCAGGTTCAATAGGTTCAGTGGGTTCTCTCGTTCGGGAGATTTTCGAAACTGCTGCTCCTCTTGGCTCCATGCACCGTCTTCAAGGTCGAGGGGGGGGGGTCAGTCATCTGCCGATTGTCGTTCCCATTACCCTCCTGTGAGGGAGTGCTCTCCCGACTAGCGATCTTTTCCCTCTGGAGCTGATGGAGTTCTTGCCTGATTTCCTGGAGTCCCTCGATCACAAGTATCTTGGTTGCCTCAGAGGAGGTCCTGATGGCTGTGAGCTCGCCCCACACCTCTTTCCAGTTCACACTTTCATCATCTTCTTCCCTGTTGACAGTTTCTGGGGGGGGGGGGTGAAGCTCATCAAGCGTTCATCCAGCGTCTCTAAGATATTGTCTCTCCAGTCACTACCCGAAGCCTCAAGCGTATTTATCATCCAGCGGAGCATTCTCTCCTCGCATTGTCTAACTGCTGTCGCTATGGCTGAGGCTACAGCCTCAGAAACTTCTACCTCTGGCTGTGGTTCATTCGACAACTCCTCAGCTCTGTTCGTATCCTTGACTACATCCTCGCTCTTGTGGATTTCCTCCTGCCTGAGGTTTACTTGACTGTCTGCAAATGCGTCTAGCTCTCCGTCCTTGGAGGCTCTGAGATTAATGTGTCCAGTAAAGCTAGGCCACCCACCCAGCGGTTCTATTTCCGTCTCCTCCTCTTCACCACTTGGAGTTTCCTCCTGTGTCTCAGTCCCATTCTCCTCCTCGACGTCTGTTTCTTTATCTTTATCATCCGGGTCTGTACCCTCATCAGGGTCTGCGTCCTTCCCATCCAGGTCTGTGCGCTTCTCACTTGGGTTTGCCCCTTTCACAGGTGTCCTTGTTACTTTACTGCTCTTTCCCAGATTTTCGACACTTCCGTCCCTCGCTCCGAAGTAACCTCTGATATCTGATGGAGCAGTAATTTTTTCCTCTTTTTTCTTCTTTTCGTCTTCCTTCAGAGTGCAAGCGTTCGATTTTTTCCCATTTCCATCTACATCGCGTCTTGTTTTACCGACCGGGGTTTTGCTAGAGCTTCCTTTGGTCTCCGCGTTTGATCGCTTGGCGCTTGTAACTCTTGTTTGAATTGGGGACCAGAGCGTTAGCCGTCCCCCCACACTCTTCCCGCCCATAATCTGTAGCAATCCACGGTTAACCTAGAATCTCGACGCCTGACTTACTCAACACAACCGTCTCTCACATGTCCACCTCCACCAAGTCTTATTATTTCACTTTGCTCTTAAAAGGCCCAGGGAGCCTTTGGGCACAACTCCCACACTTTTTGTACAATTTAACACTGATAATATTCCGGATAAATGCGGAGCCCGCGTCAAAGCCAACTTATCCACGTGCCCCCCTAGCGGCCGGCCCACTACTGTTCTCCCTATTTATCAACGACATCGGCAGTTCGGTCCTCGAAGCCCATCATCTTCTCTATGCTGATGACCTCCAGATATATCTGGAACGTGATCCATCTGAGCTTTCCCTGGGCATTCGGCGACTGAATGCAGATATCTCCAGGATCCAGGAGTGGGCCTCAGCGAATTGTCTCCAACTCTATGTCGGCAAGACTAAAGCTATGATCCTGAGAGCCAAATGCTTTGTCAATGCTGTTGACGTAGCTCTGTTACCCAGTCTTGGATGTGATGGTGCAGCTATTGAGTTGGTCAGCAGTATGAGGAATTTGGGGGTCATCATTGACAGTAAATTGACCTTTGGAGATCATGTTCAACTCGTCACTTCTAGGATTAACTCGGCGTTCTATTAGTTATATCGCTTACGTAGTTATACTGATGAACCCCTTCGGAAATTACTTGTCAATGCCCTTATTTTTCCTCACATTTACAAAGCCTCCTTGGCTGTGACTGGCTCGGAGTTGTGGAGCGGCATCCCTGCTATCATCAGGGAACTTCCCACATCCTTGGCTTTCAAGCGCCAGCTTAGGTCCTGGCTATGTACTCGGGAAGAACTGGGCTGACTGCGTGCGTCTTACTGGCTAATTCTCTCTAATGTTTTTTATTGCTTTTTCATCACCTATGTGCCGGCGCTATAGCTTTCTCTTGCTTTTCTCTTGCTTTTATCTCATGTGTTTCTCTCAATGGATTTTCTCCTACCTTATATTATCATTTTGTATCATTTGTTTAAATTTCTAAACAATAAACACCTTATCTTATCTTATCTTGTAATTCTTCCCATGCTTATCAACAGTAGCATTCTCTGCTAAACGTTTCAACGATGTCGAATCATGATTGGGAGCTGTGACTGCATTCGAAGCTGTGAACCACACTTTGTGATACACGAGGACGACGAAAATATATACATTTACTAACCCAGAATTTTCCTGAGCTGCCAATCGGAACTGATCCCGAAACAAGAAAATTTTTAAGGAATAGATCGCCTTGGCCATCCACCTGGCACGATGGATAGGAATCAAAGCCCGAAATCGATTCCCTTCGGAAAGATTCCCTCCGAGGAACAGCACCACCAGCTACGAAAACTCTTGGTAATCCTTCCGAATGTTGTCCTCCTACAAAGTGAATAGAGAATAGTATTTTTCGATACGGGGGCATAAAAAAATTTTCTGCCGAGTGTGAATTTACAGAACGAGCCGAAGGCGAGGATTAAAAATTGTTTATGACCTAGTGTCGAAGGATATTTTTTGTTATTTCGTGCGTGAAGAGCGTTTTACGAACGCGCAGTGTGCGTGAAACATTGTTTCACGCACAGAGTGACAAAAAAAATATTTCGTGTTATTCATAATCTGAAAATGTGCAAATGGAATCGCTACAGAAGTGTACGTCTATTAATTTTACACTATTATCAACAATAACATATAGCTAACCTTTAACTGTGTTTCAGCAAATTGTAGAATATCAGCGATGTTGTCCGGCAAGGCTTCAGTAAGATCCGTGACTCCCGGTGCGAATTTTCCTTTATTCAGGCTACTCCAGTGTTCTTGGAACCGCTTAAAAATGGAGACTTCGGGTCCTGATTTACATCCCATTGACGTGTCAAACACGGCATACAAAAGGAGTTCCAAAACGTGATGCCGCCATGCCATATACAAGAGGTCCCTCATAATTTTTTCTTCCAACAGAACACAAGCACCCTTTTCACTTCCTGTATTACTGGAAGTGGTGTCAAAGACCATCGAGCAGGTCTTGTCCAGGACACCCCATTCCTCCAAGCTATGGTATACGGCTTTTGCTGGCCCTTTCCAGTCCCTCTTCCAATCGCGGGCACACCCAGCAATTGGTAAGAATCATGTCCAGATACGAGAACTGAGAGTCTGTCGATCATTTCAAGTTTGTCATCTAGCGATGATAATCGTTTGCTGTCCCAATGTACCGTC